ACTCCTGCTGAGAAGGTTAAGGATGGACCCCTGAACCGAATGAGGCCGTCAGCACTGGGGGCACAGTGGGGTCACAAGCCTGCTCGTGGTGGACACAGGAGAAAAACAGGAGGAAAAACAGAGCAAACAGAGGAGCAGAGACACAGACGCTAGCTGCAGGGAAAGCAGAGCAAAGAAGGATTCTTTTTAAGAAGGGAGAGATGATAGCATGCTTTTGTGCTAACAGGAAAGATCCAGGAGCAAGGAGAAACGGATGGTGTAGCAGAGAGAGGACGGGGGCCGGAAGCGTGTCCTTCAGGGCACAGGCAAGCAGCGGGAGGATTTAGTGCACAAGTGGAGGGGAGGCCCCTGGTGCAATCGGGAGCTCAGGAGTTCAGCACCCAGGCATTCGGCTGGGATCCCGGCACCTCCAAGCCCCTCACACCCAGGAAGCTCTTGACATGGGGTGGGGCTGGGGGCCCCCAATGCCTAACCGGAGAGAGAACAGGGGAAAGCTACACACCATTCCCCTCCTGTGCTGGCTCCAAGCAGTTGTCTCAATGATCCCTTGAGGAAAGACACAAACCAGAGCTCCGTTACAATGTGCCTGAATAGCAGATGTTGCCAGTGTGCTGGAGGGTGAGCGCCCTGTTCTCAAGACACTGGGAAGGCATGACTGACAAAACTGGACAAAGTTTTTGTCTCTGCAAAACTTGACAGTGTACAAAGGGCGCTGCAGGGAGTTCCCCACTGCTGCAGCCCACAGCATCATGGCATGTTATTTCCATTACACCTATCTTATGTCTGAAGAAACTGAGCCTCAGAGAGAGGGGCAAGGGGCCAAACTACACTGAGCCCCGCTACGGGCCAGGGACGCTGCTCAAGGTTCAGTGATCCCGTCTTTAACCTCCACGACAGTTCTATGAGGTGCTGTCTTCATCTCAGACAAGTCAGTTCTGGATGGCCAGTCTCATGATCCCAAAGCTCAGACTCTTTGCACTTTGGTAGTGCCTCCCCACTCTCCACATCCCTCCCCGGGACCCACTCCTACGGCCCCACCCTTCCCCGGTCCTCACTGACTTCCCCCGTCCCTGGCAGGGAGAGGTGCCCTTACCAGTGATGGTGCAGGCATCCCGGTACCCTCTGCAGCCGGGAGCATCTTCCACAGCCTCGCTTACATAGTGTTCCTCAGGGATGCCCGGGCTGCAGGCTAGGACTGCATGGTTGCACGCCTCCGAAGGGGGCACGGAGTTGGCCAAAGTGTCGTCGTGCAGAGCTGTGGCGTCCAGCTTGGCAGGTTTCACGGGGAGGTGCCCACTGCCATCAGGGACCCCGCTGCCGGAGTCAGGGGCAGTCGGGCAGACGGCCCCCAGGAGGTCTGGCACACCAGCAGCGGCTCCTCACGGGGAATCTACGGGACAATCCAGAGAAAGGAGCTCAGTGACTTAGAGTCTCTGAAGAAAACAGAACAGAATCTTCAGAAAATAAGGACCCCAAGATGATGTGGGATCAGACTGTAAATTCTGCTTCCTTCAAGCCAAGGTACTTCCAATTGAATTCTTCAGTTTCGATAAAAGAACTGCAAGTGAAGTTCCATTCAACCAATCAGGTACCAGTACAGAACAAATTACAGAGTGTGTGGCCTCATTTACTAACTGAAACCTGTCTTGAAGCAGCTCTAAGCAAATCAACAGACTGGACCACAGCTAAAATGATGACACCTACCCTGAAATGAGCATACCTAGGTCACCTGGCAGCCACGTGGAGTGTGGGAAGAGCTATGCATGAGCATCCTGGGGAAGACATGCGTCCCTCTAAAAAACAGCCATCTTTTTTTTGTATACTGAATTATGTAAGATGTGATATCTCTCTTAAACCCTTTCCAACCACCGTATATTCTCAACTCTCCAAGAGCTTTAAGGCATGCCCCAACCTTAAGCTACAGCATGAAATTAGAGGACTTCTTTAAGAATATGATGCAAACTACAGACCTTATGCCAAAAAAACACACGCAGGTTCAGGAAAATCAGCCCATTCATAGGCTCTCAGGAATCCAAGGGCAGCAGGTTAAGGGTCTGGGGACTAGCAGGTCACTCTCTCTAGGGGCCATTCC